CCTTCCAACCCCAGCCAGTAAGGAGTCTCACCAATGACGGGCCCGGGGAGAGCCACAGCGCCAGACACTTGTCCTCCAATAACATCCATTTTGCTATTCCAGGAAAGATAGCCTGTCAGGCAAGGTTTCACAGTCCATAACTCTCCGTCATTGTCACTTGCCCTCCTCCCCTCAAAGGGCAGCTCGTGAGCCAATTCCTAAACATAGCCCATGGAGCAGAAGATTAAGCCTGGCTTGGAGTTGGCCTCTTTTATCAAATGAGCCCATAGAGCTTGAGCAGCAGCAAGCCTCCAAAAGACAGATCTGCTGTCTTTACTGGTCCACCAGTAAAGATGGCTGGAGGAGAAACAATTGGTAAGAGACAAAAAATGGCAGACTGTCTGGCTGCCTCAGCATCAAGTAGCTTAATGTCGCTTCCTCTTGCTCAGAAAAGTCATTGGGACCGTCATTATTGGGCTACAAAGGTCACACCACTGACCTGCTATTGAGAGGGCTGGCATTTTCTGAAAGGAGGAACGCTGAGAATGTCAGATATTTGTTAAAAATTTGGTTTACAGAGCCCACTCCTTTCTATTAAGTCCCTGGAAGACAAAAAAAGCAAAACTATGAATTTCTAGTCATAGGCCTCAGTTCAAATCTTTACTAGTTGTGTTACTCAGAACAAGTTATTAATGCTCTTTAAACTCAAGTTTCTCTATTTGCACTTTCTACATTCCTAAGTCAGTTTGGATTTCAATCTATATATAATTTAAATGTTATATATAATTCACATACTCCATAAAATATATAGCATTGCTCATTCAGTGGTGGCTATTATTACTTATCCCAACAACCATATGACCTAGGTAATTACCACCATGTTAGCAAGAAAAGCCAAGGCTTAGATTTCGTGAACTTGCATGAGCTCACAGAACTGAAAGAGCATCAAGACCCGACCATATCACTCACACATATCAAAGCGGCTATTTTGGAGAGGATTACTGCAGAATCCAGTGGACCAACGACCCTCCTTCTCAGTCTCTGCTCCTACACGGATGGCACAACTACTATCCAGAGCAGTGAGGGTAATAAGAGCCCCCGCCATGGGCCAGGCACTGTTGCAGGCACTTCACATCCTCAGGACAGTCCTAGGAGGGATTACCGCTGTTATCCCCATAAGGAAATGATGGGAATAAAAGCCCAGAGAAGTCAGGCCATTTGCCTAGCACAGCACAGCTAGAAAATGATGGAGCTGGCATTTTAACTCATTCACTCTAGCTTCAGCACACATTCTTGTACCCAAGACAATATTTTTCACGTCAATTCTTTTCAAAGTCTCTGTGGTCAAAGACGTGTTTTGGGGCCAGCTGATGGCATGGTCGTGAAGGCCTCTGGATCCCACATGGCCAACTCTTTGGTTCGAGTTTCAGGTCTGATGTCTTGAAAAACATGCCAGTTGCATGTGCATGTGTGCCTAAAATCCCAAGAGAGGAATGGAAGAGAAGGGATTGCAGGCATGGCCATTCCCCCTGGATAGTGCTTTCCCACTTTCTCTGGCTCTCTGTCTCTCTCTGGTGAGCTCTCACAACCTACAACAGGACAACAACAAAAGACATGTTTTGTTTTAATTTAGACTATATTTGAGAAAATACTTTTATAAAATACATTCATAGGAAATGAAATTAAATGTACATCCACAATTCAATTCTAATTTCTAAATTATAGTTCAAATCACCACTCATGAAATTCCACTGTAAATTTTTATCAAAGTTCCTGAATGCCTTCTCAGGGCTTCCTCCCACTTCCTCTGTGTACCAAGGTCCATCAGTTGGGCTCCCAGCCACACTTCGGTAACTGACGTGGTTCTCGGCTTGCAGAGCCTGGGCACATTTCGTGTCAATGAAGTTTACGGCTCAGCAATAAGGTCAAATCTGACAGCATGCTCTGCTAGGCCTGTGCTTTAGAAAGTGGGTTAGAATCCACTGAGTTAGCCATCATCTACCCTGGTCAGGAAGTCTAACAGATGGGAGGACCCACAAGAAGTGTAATCAGAATTATCCCATGCCTCACTGGAAGGAGCTGAATGTTCTAGTGCATTAACTTCCTAACTGATTTTGTAAAACTTATTTTTCTTTAAGAATCTGCAATATTCTTACTTCAATTGCTCTTTATCTTCCTTGTCCTCCTGTTCTTCTCATGAAGTAAGGTGTTTAGCACATATCCTGAAAAATAGTAGGTGTTCAGTAAATGCGACTGAATGTTCACATGTATTTATTTATTTTGGAGAGTTTATTTATTTATTTTTTTCCCTATAGGGCACATGCACTTGTTGAAGAGATGGAGAGACAGGAAACAGAAAATCACCCCCATGGGGATGACAGTGCCATAATTCCTTCTCTTCTAGGGATTTTGGGCATGTATGCACACACACCCAGAATGACTTTCAAGCCTCCAGGGCCAGGACTTGAACTGTGGTCAGCCACATGGGAGTTCAGCAACATAACCATTACACCATTTGCTGGTTCCTTAATTTATTTGTAATGGTTTGCTATAGGGCGTATGGGCTAGCCAGAGAGAGACATAGGGGGGGCAGTGAGAAAACACCCCCCAGGAGGGATGGCAACACTGTGATCCCTTCCCTCCCCCAGTCTCCTCTCTGGATTCTGGGCACACATGCAGGCTTGAAGGGCTTCTCAAGGGTCTGGGACTTGAACCGTGTAGTCTGCCATGTGAGATCCAGTCACCTTAATCACTATCCCATCTGTTGGCCTTCAAAAGTTCACATTCATTTTAATAAATACTGTTAGTATTAAATCTCTATGTATGAAGGACATCATATGGATACTATACAAGTCTTAAATGATGATGTGCTTCCTTTCAGGAGTAAATACTTAAAAAAAGATAAACTAAGGAGTTAAATAGATATCAGTCTGACTTTTTTCTTTTTTCTTTCTTTTTTCTTAATATTATCAGAGGGCGCTTGTGCTTACCCAAGACAAACAGAGAAAAAGAGAGAGAGAGAACTCACTGTGGGACCCCTTCCTTTTTCTTTTCTCCCCACTTCCAGGATTCGGGGCATGGAAGAAGCACATGCCTGCCGTGTTTCTCAGGCTGCTGGGTCTGAGTGTTGAACATAGGGTTGGTTAATTAGGATCCAGCCATCTTGACCACCATGCCACAGGCTAGCCTCACTCTGGAATATTGAGGACTTCAGTCAAAAGCACTTAAAACACAGCAGGTGCAAAAAGATCACTCTGACCATCATGTGTTTTCGTGAAAGCAGAAGATGGAATTCCTGTGCGAAAGAAGCCACATGCTTATTGTTGAGGACAAGAAAATGGAGGCTGAAGGAATTCTATACAAAGGAATCTCATTAAACCCTTATTTTTCTAGTCACACCACCAAACCAACATAGGTAGGTAGGACCTGGGAATAGTCTCTTGCCACCAGAAAAGCCAAGCTCTGTGGAGGAGGAAGGCTTTCTTTGAGTGATGTCATCTGGGTGAGAGCTAGGCGTGCTTAACAGGCTGTTTCCTGGGATGTGCTCAGAGGATGGGCTTTTATAAAGAAATACTTCCCTCCAAAGTTGCCAACTAGCTCCATATACGCAAATGAAGAATTAAGCTTGTGCAGTCCTAATCAATCAGCTAACTCGTGTAGCAGTCCCACTGCTCCATTGTGGAAACTGGTGCTGTCCAGATCGGTTGCTCTGCTGCACACGGTGTCCAGGCTTCCTACAGCCTTAGGTCACCCTGCCCACCTGGTGCAGTGGTCAGCAGGCAGTAGCAGGTTTCTGCCCTCAAGGCTGGTCCTCACCACATTTACACACTAGCTATTTTTTTTTTCCAATCTAGTATATAAGTAATGGGAACTAGTTGCTTCTTTGGGTCTTCATTTCTTTTTGAGAGCTTCCATGCTACATAAAACTTGTATTGAATAAACATGTATGCTTTTCTCCTGTTAATCTACTTTGTGCCAGTTTAATTCACATACCCAGCTAGGATCCTAAGAGGCTAGAGGTAGAGTCTGACCACCCATACCTAGGCAAACACCAAAGGAAATGGTTTGCTCAGATGAAGAAAGGAGAGACCAAGAAGGAGAGAGTTCATCTCAAAAATGTTTACCACCGTGCTTTATTAAAAAATTCAAATATTTTAATATCCAGGCTGTAAACTTAATGTTCTTATTATTATAACTTGCAGGCTTTAAGTGGAACATGATTGCTCGCACAATAAAGACTGTCTTCATAATAAAGTTTTGTATAAACGCCTTTAAATCAGGAGTGCCAAGTTTCATGTTATTCCTGAAAAATAAAATTAGTCATTATTTTCCTAACAATTCATAAATATGAGTCACGCATAATGAGAGCAGGCAGTTTGTCACATACAAAGATCAGCAAATCAATCTCAGCACCTATTGTATGGTAAGAATGTTTCCCAGTACCACTGGGTAGGTATGGGGAGGCAGAAACAAAACAAGTACACCAGTTTTTATCAAGTAACACACAGTGTAGTTGGAACACATGAAGCAATGAGACAGCAGTACGCCTTCCCTTTGTATGGCAGAGCTCTGTTCCGACCCTCACACCCACTCACCTCCACCCATGAGCCTTGTGAAAACAGACAGTAAAAGAATGATGAGGCGTCTATGCAATGGTACATTGTCCAGTCCACTCAAGAGCATAGGTAGACGCTCCATGGCCGGTGTCAGTACCCTTTCTATTTCCCACCACTGGTATTTTTAATGCGTTGGAAACTCTAGACATCTTTCACATAGCTTCTCTCCTAGAAAAGAGAGACCTTTGAATCAGCTTACAGAAGATAAGGCACATTGACCCATTTTCCGCTTCTTCATTGCTTCTTCTATCAACATAAGGTTGCTGCACTTTTCATTTGTAATCCACCCCCACCAGATTCTAGCCAGCAAGTTCACCTTCTTCACGGACGAGGACTTAACCCTGGTCTACGTATTAGAGTCATAACCATCACCTCTATTCCACAGACATGAACACAATTGAAATATTCACAGTTCCTTGGAAACTTCCCTTCTGTCTTTCTAAGGAATATAGTGATTCCTCTGTGAACTTTCTGGGCATTCAGCTTTGTTCTTCAGTGTATTTTTTGCCAGTTGGAACACATTTCCTATGTAATCTGTGTAGCTGCCTCGTCTTCCCAGTCAGATCGGCTCTTCCTGTTCTTGCTATGATGATGTCGCGGAGAAGAGCAGGGACAGCGAGGTGTGCTGTAATGTGACAGTCACAGGAGGAACGTCCATCACTATTTTATCTCTCAACAAATAGAGTTTTAATAGGACTACTCCTGAGAAAAGGCAAGAGAGAGGTTCTTCCTAAAAGTTGGTGGAAGGCGGGTTACCCGTGGTAAGCTGGGCTATGCTGTATCACACAAAACCCCTCAAATCACAGTAAGTATAAGAAAAGGTAGCTTATTTCTTTTCTTTAAGAATTATTTTATTTAACTTTATTTATTTATTTTAATTTGACTGGAGAAGGACAGAGAGAGAAAGAGAGAGCAAGCATACCGCCAGGTGTGGGACTCAAACCATGGTTAGCACGGTGGGACTCCAGCGCCCTTAACCACCCCGCCACCTGCCAGCCCCCAAGGTAGCTTATTTCTACTTTCTACACAGTCAGCTGTGGAATTCTCAACCAAGGAGCAACTCTGAGATCAAGGCTCTTTCCACTCTATGGCACCAATATCTCCTTGTGCTGTTTTTGGGGTCCAGAAAACAAACTTAAAACCTGAGGCATCCATGAAGTAAGGAGTCAGCTTCTCTCTAAGCATCTAGAGCTCATCTACTAACCATGCACTCACTGCCCTGGGAGGAACGGAGGAAACACAGACAGTGCCTGCTTTGGAATGATTCAACTTACGATTTTTCGATTTATGATAGTGTGAAAGTACCACTTACTCAGCAGAGACGGTACTTAAGTATCCATGCAATTATTCTGTTTTTCACTTCCAGGGCAATATTCAATAAATTATATGAGATATTGAATACTTTATTATAAAATCAGCTTTGTGTTGGATAATTTTGCACAACTGGAGGCTAATGTAAATGTTCCAAATACATCTAATGTAGGCTAGGCTAGGCAAAAGTATTTGATAGGCTGGGTGTATTAAATATAATTTTGACTTTCAATAGTTTTAACTTATGATGGGTTTATTATGATATAACCCCATGGCAACTCAAGACACATCTGTAGTCACACAAACAAGTCTCCATGGACCTTAACTAGCTCACAGAATCTCAGTCACCCTGGAGTCCTCCACTAGGTCTCTGCATCCCACCTTCTGAGAGGGAAGAATGTCAAGAATTGCTTGTGACATAAAATGACCCAGAAAGGGCTTCATGTGAAACTCTTTCACCCACTTTTCATTGTAGCTCCTAACTACTTTGGAAGAAGACTTGAAAATATAATCTTCCTGTGTTCCCAGGATTGGAAATGTTTTTTTGTTGTTATTGTTTTTTGGTTTTGTTTTTTTTTTTTTTTTTTTTTTTCCTTAGAGTTTTCCCCCTTTTTTTTTTCTCTAGAGGGCACACATGCACTTGCCAGAGACAGAGACAGAAAGTGAAAAATTCACCCCCAGGTGATGGTCTCACCACAATCCCTTCTCCTCCATGCCCCTCTCTAGAATTTGGGCACACACGCACACATCCCCAGGGTGAGTTTTAAGAAAGTGGATCCAGAACTCGAACCACAGTTGACTACATGTGAGTCCAGCGATATAACCATTAGGCCATCTGCTGGTCCTGAAAATGATTTCTTTGAGCACATGGCCAATCTCTGCCATAGAAGCCACATACTGGAAGCATTGTCAGGTGTTGTCTTACACATCATGTCTCTGGTAGATCCTCTGACCTAACTTGTGTATTGCACTTAAAACATAGCCAGGTTATTGGTTGAAGATATTTTGATCAACTGGACTGGGGAGAAATGTTCACATATTGAAATGTTCACTTTGTAAGCTAAACAATATGATTGAATATATATAAAATTTTTTTAAAAAATTATAAAAAAAACATATCCAGGAACACAGTCAGTTTTGTAAGTATTTACATATTATTTAAGGTATTATTTTATAACTTTCATTGTTAATATCATTATTGTTATCATCAGTGTTCCTACTACCATCCAGCATGAACAATATGTTGTTAGATATGCCCTTCAAAAGGTTTCATTGTTAGATACGCCCTTCAGAAGGTCTAGTGCTGTGAGAAAAAAGTTCCATGGGTACCATGGCTCCCTTCAGTTAGTCCATGGTCCTGGTATTGTCACCAGTGCATCTAATTCTCAACTTGAGAATAGGCAGTTTCTGTCTCTAGGAGAAAGGCACTGCTTCCCCCAGGGAGATGCACTGGCAACCAGAAGCCTTGAGTAGCTGGGATGACCGTTGTCCCGGCCCAGTCTCTACAGTGGTTGCCAGCAGCTGGGACACTAGACAGACAGACAGGCCTCTAGACCCAGTGTTGGGCTCAGGGGCTCAGTGTGGGCTGGAGCACTGAGGGCAGGAGGGAAGCAGCTTCACAGCAGACTATGAAACGTGGTGCATTCTAGAATAATTTCCCCTTTATCCTGTCTTCCAGTGCTTTATCTACTTCCCAGGTTCTTTGGTAAAGTTTTTGTTTAGCCCTTCTCAGTCAATGAAATTTCATTGCCCCACTAAAATTTCTAATTCCCCAAGGGAACCTTCCTTACAGGCTTTAGCGCACACTGGTTAACTCCCCAAACCTTCAATCTCAAGTGCCAGCCATGTGCTGCTAACTGCTGCACAGGGACCTCCCTGGCTGCTCGGAAAGGCTTTTTACTGCCATGGTTTTTGACAACTTCCATGTCTTTCTCCAGAAATGGACCCCAAAGTCATCTCCACACCTTTACTTCTCAAAGGCTGGGAAGGTTAGAGACAGAAATGTCATTTTCCTTGCTGGATTTAGCTTGCATTATTATTCTTTTTCTCTGGAAGTTCTAATTACACTATAGTCAAAGGTTCCAATTACACTCTAGTTCAAGTGTCCTTGTTTGACAGGAGAATGAAGTGAGTATGCAGAGATGGCTAATAATACATCTTCCATAGAGAAAAGGCTCTGGATACATTTGTGAAAACCAGTTATTTTTCCAGACACTCGTAGGTGTGTTTTTGCCTTGGAGATGAATGTGATGGTCCATTTTCTATGACAGTTCAAATATTCTCAAAGCACTTTTCTTTCCCTGGTGTCTTAAATTTCATCCATCCTTTGGGACCAAAGGAGACACCTGCTTCTGCCTCTTCTTCACAC